CGTGGTATAATCTACTATTAAATCTTTGATATGCCAATCTCCAGCAGGAGAACCATCAGCATTATCTAAAGAATAGACTAAACGAGAAATTCTTTTTCTCACTGTACACAAAACATATTTGGGAGGTAATTTTCCGCTAAATTTTATTGAAGCATCGGATAGAATCTTGTTTCTTCTCCAGACTTTATCACCTTCATTAAATATATGGTCTCTCTTTCTAAGGTTGTATGATGATGCATTTCTCTGGTAAGCCTTATGAAGCCTTTCCTGCACTGTCTTAAAGACATCACTAAGCCCCTTGATATCTTGAACAAAACTATCCCTGCTGTCAGGTAAAAGTTCAATATCTTGAGTATTAGGAATGCTACCATAATATTTACCAGAAATAGGCACATTACGACCAAACATCAAAAATGCTGGAGTATATTGGGTGACTTCATGGGTGGCGATATTTATCGCTTGTTGAATTTTATATAATTCCTTATCCCAATCTTTATGTTCATCTACATAACTCCTAATGGCTTGACCTATTGTTTTATTGGTTCTTTCCACAAAGTTACACTGGGCTGAATATCTAGGAGTATACCATATTTTTTGAACATTGTAGGTTTCTGCTAACTTTTTAAATAGTTTACCAGCAAACTGGGTTCCATTATCACAGATGATGAACTGTGGAACTCCAAAGACTAAAAAAACTTGGTTTTCCATGAATTTAATGATGCTAGGTGCCTTGGCATCTCGCATTGGACACAATAGTGTATACTTTGTGAAAAAGTCTGAAACAACCAATAAGTAAGTGAAACCTTTAGAAGATCTGGGAAACGGTCCCATGATATCGACAGCAATAGTCTGAAAAGGAAATTTAACATTTCTCTGAGCACCCATGAGTCCCATCCGAGGAGTATTCGATAACTTTTGCGACTGACAAACTTTACAGGACTTTACATATCTCAGAATGTCCGATCTCATTTTAGGCCAATAGTAGTGCTGCTGAACTCTTGAGAGTGTCTTGAAAAAACCAAAATGGCTACAAATAGAAGGGTCATGTGAATCTTTCATAACTGAAAGTCTTTGTGATTTAGGCACAATCACTTTCCATTCAATAATGTTCGATTTGACGGGCACTTTGGAAGGAATATATTTATAAATCAGTTCATTTTCAACTCTAAAGTGGGGATAGGCATCTGGATCTTGAGAGATCTTACTACATAATGAGGTATACCATGAGTCTGTATCATCAGACTTCAAATCAATTAAATTCAACTCTGGACTTTCGTCATCTGAAAGAGGTATCCTTGAAAGAAAATCGGGAATAACATTATGAACCCCAGGCTTATGAATCAACTCAAAAGTATGCTGTCGTAACTTGACAGACCATCTTGCTAATCTACCAGAAGGGTCTTTGAGATTGTTCAGCCACAGCAGACTATGGTGATCAGTTATTACTTTGAAAACCGTTCCCTCAATGTAAGGACGAAATTTGTCAATTAAGAAGATCAAACTCAATAATTCTCTTTCAGTGACACTGAAATTTCTCTCAGATTTGGACAAAGATCTGGAGGAGTAAGCAATTATTCTTTCGACACCCTGAACTTCTTGGGTCAACACCCCACCTATGCCCACATCACTTGCATCACACTGTATAGTGAAAGGTAGTGTAAAGTCTGGGGGACAGAGAATAGGTGCTGAAACAAGAGCCTTCTTGATGGCGATAAAAGAAGCCTCTGCCTCAGAAGTCCATTCTATAGGTTGATTTTTACCTTTACCCTTGCCTTTCAATAAGTTGCTAATAGGTGCCATTAAAGTTGAAAATGAATCTAAAAAACGTTTGTACCAGTTACATAACCCAATAAACCGTTTAATTTCCGTACTTGTAGTAGGACGAGCATAATTTACCATTACTGGAACTTTAGAAGGATCTGTTCGAATTCCTTGTCTGTCAATAACAAAACCCAAGTATTTAAGTGATGTCTTGAAAAACTCACATTTTTTAATATTTATAGTTAGGTTTGCATCCTGCAAAATACCTCTAACTTCTTTCAAAAGCTTCACATGCTCCTCAAACGTCGGTGAAATGATAATAATATCATCTAGATAAGTAAATAAATTAGGTTCGAATTTTGGTCCAAACAACGCATCACATAGTCTTTGTTGTGTCTGGGCACTGTTACATAAACCGAACGGCATAACATTGAGGTGGAATAAACCTCGACCAGGTATACTGAATGCAGTCTTTTCTTTAGACGATTCTTCAAGTGGCACTTGCCAAAAAGCTTTCCTCAAATCGATACTTGAAATATACTTGGCATTACGCAACAGGGTGAGAATTCTATCAATGCGTGGAAGAGGATAGCTGTCGTGCTTCGTGATTTCATTCAGTTTACGTCCATCAAAACAAAAACGGTATTCACCAGACGATTTCTTAACCAGTAGTACCGGACTATTCCAAGGACTATGTGATGGTTCTACCACACCTAATTTTATCATCTCATCTAACTCATCATTAAGGATCTTTAACATATATGGAGACATTAAATACTGCCTCTGTTTAAACGGCTTTGCCTCGCCAGTGTCAATTTCTAAAGTGATTTTATTTGTACGGCCTAATCGAGCATCACTACTAATTTCCTGAAATGAGTGGATAAGATCTTTCATCTGCTGTCTCTGTTCTTGTGTAAGTTCATCTTCAACACTAATTTCTGAAATATCACTACTTTGAGGTGAGCTGGCAACAATGTCGACAGTTTCCCCAGAAACTCGACACTTAACGTCCCAACTAAAATTTTGAAAATCTATGGACACACCAAACTTAGTACAGAAATCACTTCCTAGAATGAATGACTGTGATAGGGTAGGTACAACTAATGCCGGAATTATCTGTATCTCTCCATTAATATGAATAGGCAAATCAACAACTCCTTCAACTTTTTGATGTGTACCATCTGCCGTAAAAACATGATTCAAATGAGGAGTTCTGATTATTAAATCAAGATTTTTTACTGTCCTTAAACCTCCTTGACCTATGACGGACATATTGGCACCACTGTCTAAGAGTGCAATGACATTTGTATCAAAAAGCTGAATATTCACATAAGGCCTATTATCCTTGACTTTCTTTATTAATAGAGGAGCTACAACATTCTGAAAATCATCCTCTATTTCTTCTGTAAGATTATTTAAATTCTGAAATTTGGCTCTAGGAAAATTTGGAGAAAATTGTGAGCCTATGACAAAATTCTCCTCTATCAGTTTCCCTTACACCTTTCACAGTCCTTCATTACCACATCAGGTGCTATCTCTCCACCTGTTTCTGGCACACCATCACCTCAGTCGGAAACAGAAAAAAAAAATGGAAATGGCAGTTAGGAGAGCGATGCCGCCAAAATATACAATAACACCTCCAGATGAGAGCCCAATATCTCTCAATCGATTAGAGAAGTAGGGGATTTTGTCACGGCAGAAATCACACTGGATGTACCATCGGGGCAGGACCCCGAAATACCACTCAACTCAATATATGGAGACGACAATACCATCTCGGCTATGACTGAAATGTTCAATAGAAGATATCAGGATAATTTGATAGCAATGAAGATTCAAGAAGTGAAAGACAATAATCTCCCAAAACAGGTGGCAAACAATCACCCGAAAAAAATTTACACTTACTGTCACCCAGTCCCGCAACACAAAAAATTCGAAAAGATACTTAGAGAGAATGCCAGAAGCAAAAAGGCTAAACATGAGGTGTGTTCTGTTTAGGTATCGTAATTTGAGTCCATACGCCGTCTTGAAGCAGCAATATTGAATTGAACGCAACAGTGGACTATCTCTGACCAAGGCAAAGAAATTCAGAATGCAAAACTCGTTTAATAAATGGTGCTCCGTGCTCCTATTTTCTTTTTTTGGATATTTTCCTCGTTGTTTTGGGAAAACGAAATTCAATATTTTTGCTGTATTGGAATCTTTATTATTATCATTATGTTTCACTAGTGAAGTTAATCTAAATTCTAATTCTAAGTTATCAATTAGGGATCATTAATTGCACCTTTTTAATAAGAGTACATTCATATTCGAAAATTCGCGCATATATGCCTTGGCATTTATTTGCTTCATCCTTTTCCTTGTCATGACAATTCCTATATCTATGAATTCCTCTCTTTCCTGCTATTGGACGCTGGATTTGATCCGGCAAAAAATACCAAGGAACAAGTGACTGGTTTATAGACAGATCTGTACGGCTGGCCACGAAGTTAACACGCAGAATTTTACTTTTCACGTCTCCTAAAGTGTTGAGTACATGACTTTCTGTCCAGTGAATCATATTTAGTGCGTTTTCCACTATGTTACGAGACATAGTCCTGATCTACAACTGTCACAATTCTCCAGATATGCAAGAGGATTGGATCCGGCAAAAAATACCAAGGAACAAGTGACTGGTTTATAGACAGATCTGTACGGCTGGCCACGAAGTTAACACGCAGAATTTTACTTTTCACGTCTCCTAAAGTGTTGAGTACATTACTTTCTGTCCAGTGAATCATATTAAGTGCGTTTCCCACTATGTTACGAGACATAGTCCTGATCTACAACTGTCACAATTCTCCAGTTATGCAAGAGGGCGGTATTTCCTTCAGATCCTATCAACCTCCTGTACACCTCCGATTTTGGTAAGTCAAGGCATCTACCTCAGATCAAGATCATTTTGCTTACTGATATACCTACATCACAAAATAATTGAACATACAATAAAGGGATGAGATTCGATGAACCAGAATAATCCTATAATTACAGTCGGCTTGTTGATAAATTTACCCTTGAAGTTTATTACGTAACCAGCCATCGCAAATGGAAAGTTGTGAATCTAGCGCTACCTACTGCGCTAGGTCTGCTTTCGGAGCTCTAATTCTAAGTAAAAATTGTAAAAATAGCAGTAAACGTATATTTCAGGTGTTCTTCCTCTGATTTTATTCTAATTTGATCGAAGGCATGCATATACATACCAGCATATCTTTTCCACTCCCTTTATATCCAGCCAAAAGGACGGATTTCACGTGTGGTGTAGATTGATGTAGATTAGGTGTTAAGAGAGGAACGATGCAGTACTCCTTCAAAATCTGCCGGATGTCTCCAAGGGCTATGGCAGGGTCTTTTCCTATGTTGTATGGAGCTGGAGGAAAGTACGAACGTTCACCTCTGAATTCAGAAAGATAGACTTCTGGACATCTGAAAATGTTACATGATAAACTGCGGTCGTAAAATTATCACAAAATCAATAATATTAGGTAGAAGTCCATGGTTTCTCAAAGTGGAGTGAGGTTGTAACTACTAAATAGTCATCATGATAACATTCAAATTTGATCAACAGATCTACATTATCTCCTGGAAAAGAAGTGGTTAGTACAAAATATTTTTGACAAGCGAGTGAATTTTTCTTTTAGGCTATCTGATAAGAAAATTATTTTTTCTACAAACGTCAAAAAATGACAAGGTTCGCGCATTGATAACAAATTGCGAAGTGACACTTTTTTTCAGTTTCCTACGTTACCACGACACAATGTGCGAAGCAGTGCGCGAAATAAAACAGTGCGCGAAGTACCTACTTCGCGCATTGTTATGTAAAATATATGAGATATTTATATTTCAACTTCATGGTCCCCAATCGAACAAACATTCACGAAATCATTTATTTCTGAATGTTCAACAATAACTTTGTTTTATTTCTTGGAGCGCACGAAAGGAAATTCCTATTATGTTCATGGAACATCGTGCGTACCTAGGGAGGATAGGGGGAGGCCTTTTCAAGCCAGTTCAACACTATTTTCGATATCAAGCTGAACATATTTTTACTTCAGAACTATATTTTTTGACGTTTGTAGAAAAAATGTTGTTTGCAACTCGAGCGCGAAATACTCTGGTCATCTCGACTATTTTTTTAACTCGGCTACGCCTCGTTAAAAAATCAGATCTCGATCACCAAAGTAGCATTTCGTGCTCTAGATACAAAAATAACTATAAACGCAGTGACTTTTTGGGGCAAATCATCTGATTTGTCCTCACTACACGTATATTGAAATAATATTCATATTTTTATTTTATAGAAACGAGGAGAGAAAATCCCAAAAAATTTGGAATAATGAATGAATGTACCACCTCCTCGATTAACCTACAGACAGTATTTAACAAAATATTTTTGATTATCAAAAAATTATGATTACGTGGGAGTTGAAAAAGCTAAGATGTAACTTTACCTTTTTTTATTTCCACGTAAGCATACTTTTTTATTGATCCAAAATATCTCGAAACTTTTTTCCAGGATACAAAATAGTAGTAATTTGGGACATCGAGTATAATTTATTAGTAACAAAATTGATATTCTGAAATTTCCACGCCAAATAATGAGGAATTGTTTCAAGTAATTTCGTAACGAAAATACACAAGAAAATTCTTGGGGATCTATTGGATATATTTTAAATGTATAAATCTCCAAACAAATTCATCAATCGATCGAAATCATCGAATAATTTAATAAATGATGCATATATTTATTCAGTTAGAGTAAATGTTGTTTCATAAAATGTGAACATGTTCTTGAATGAAGAATTCAATTCACTCACTAGTAGAATACATTCACCTGAAGCAAAGAAATATATTCATTATATTTTCCAAATTCGATTCATGATACCTATGCCAATGGAAACCACTCAAAGAAAAAAAGAAGATCCTGGCAGGATTCGAGCCCGGGACCTCCGGAGTATCAAGCTGCAGCTCTTTCTTTGTTGGCAGCGCCTCTTCCAACAGAATTAGTTCTGAACAGAAATATCACTTATGGTCTATGTTGAAAATTATTCAAATATTCTTTCTCTACATTTTCATCAGGAAAACTGCTACATAAATGTACGTCATATTTTTTTTGCGCAGTTTCCTCTATAATTAAATTACTCTCATGAACCACAACTAATTAATTATGCGAAAGGAATTTTTCTTTGAAAAATAGTGATTCTGAATTCCTGTATCAAGTAAACTCATCATGATATTTGTCAAGCAGATATATTCGTGAATTATTCAAAAAAATCAATTTTTCAAATTTCTTCTAGACCAAGTGAATGAAATTCAAATAAACTCATACTCATATCAATTCAAATAGCGCAGTAGATCAAATCGCCTCTCAGATATCTGCACAACGAGACGAGGCGTTGACGCAGATGTCGGCTCAACAGGAGGAGCTACTGGCTCAAATTATTGCTAAGCAAGATCAAATCGCTCCTCAACAAGATCCGATCGCTGCTCAGCAAGATCAAATCGCAGCCAAGCCTGGTAATACTACATCCCAATTTGCCACTCAGATGAAAGAAATGGAAGAAAAACTGCAGCACAAGATCGATGAAATAAAGTCTCGCAGGAGAACCGTACTGGAGAGGTCAGGGAATGGTCAACAACTAGTGATGGAGCCAGACCTAGTGACTAGAACCAGTCGGGTGAGGCCGCCTAAATTCGATTGGCACACATCGTGGCAAAATTATTCGAAGCAGTTCGAAGCAGCATCCAAAGCTAAAATGGGTGGACATTGATGAACAAGGTGGTGGATCTCACAGTGGCTCTACGGGGTGAGGCACTGAACGCCTCGAAATGCGATATAGTCACGAACATCAGCAGCAAGTATTCCAATCTCAAATGGAGAATCGTCGACAGGGGCCAACGAGAGTCTGCAGGAATTTAAAGTGGATGTAGCCCGATTGTTCCATTGTGCCTACTCTTCAGCCCCCAAGTACCTTCTAGATTCCAACGTTCGTGGATAGATTGCGAGATATTGAAATGCAGAGAGCAGTTTGCCTGACTTGACCTTAAGACCTCACAGTGCCCTGGCAGCTGCCCTTGAAATCGAGGCTGCCGCAGAAGCTTTACCAGGATCAGTGAAAGTCCGAGCCATGAATGACAGTGAGAACATTGCAGATGATCCAAGGCAAGATTTTACTGAAGCCCTAATCAACGCCACCAAGGGCCTCTGGGAGAGAAACAAGTTTGCTGAACGTGCGGGTAGTTGGGTCACCTCCAGAGAGCTTGTGAGCGTTTCGAACAGGTTGCTGAGGAAGAACCATCTACCTCGCAGCCACAGGAAAACTAGAGCGGGTCGACCACAAGGGGACAGCTTCGACCCGTAATTCTCAAGACCTTCTCATGTTCGTGGCATCCCTAGGGAGCGATAACAGCAGCGTCTACGTAGATGGGCAGATCGACGAAAAGAAATGTGCATTATAAGTGGATACTGGTGCATCGAAGATAGTCCTGCGACATGGACCTCTGACATCTCAAAGAAAACCACTTGTGAACTCAAGATGGCGTCTGCAAACTGCTACGTGTCTATTGGGATATCGATGTGGACATAACGATTGGAACCGTCAAATTTCCACATGGAGCTATCATGGCTGATATAGAAGAAGGTGTTACTTTGGAAATGGACATTGAGGGTGCGCACGGGATTCAACTGCACTTCAGAAGTAGACTACTCGAGGTGGGTGCCGAAGAGTTCTTTTTGCATCCACGAGTGGAGGTAGCGGCAAGAATAACGTTAGAAGAAGACGTAATGTTACCGAAACGGAGCGAGACAATTGTAACAGATAGGGTTGAGGGTACATTGAAGCAATGCAGTTCCATCATTATGGAACCCTGGAACCGTGACGAGGAGATCGGACAAGGAATCTAAGTCGGCAATATGTTACTGTTCGCAGACCAACATGTAACTGTTCGATTTATCAACATAATTAATTACCCAGTGACAATTGGCAAAGAAACAGAGATTGGAACATGTGTCTTGGCATCCTCCATAATCCATCAGGTGACAGCAACCACTGAAGAGGCCAACAGAAGAAGAAGTTAACCGAGTAACTGCAAAAGTATTGAAAAACAGGTAGAACCATCATCGTGAGTCACAAAATCGATACAAGGGATATCTGACCGATTCGTCAACCAGCCTGAAGATTACCACAAGCCAAGAGAGAAATTACAGACAAGATCATCGAGGACATGCAACAGGGAGGGGTAATCGAGCCATCCAATAGACCTCTTGGGCTTCAATAGAATCTTTTTGCAACTTTGGGACTGAAACGTGGATATTGGCAAGTGGAAATCAATCCAGCAGACAAGGAGAACAGCATTTACCATCGGCACTGGATTATGGTAATACAAGGTTATGCCTTTTGAACTCAGCAATGCTCTGGCCACATTTGAACGAGTCATGGGGAATGTATTGAGAGGACTTTCCTGAAAGACATACTTGGTTTCTTTGGATGACATCATCGTGATCGGTGAAACTTTTGAAAAACATCTGGCTCACCTAGAGGAACTTGTCAAGAGACTTCAGGCTGCAAACCTCACGCTCAATCTGAAGAAATGTCATCTGCTGCAGAAATGGGTTAACTACTTGGGACACGTCGTAGGAAACCAGGGTGTGGAAGTTCTGAAGAGGTACTAGCAGTGAAGCAATGATGGCTAGTACCAAGAGATAAGTATCAACTCAGGAGCGTCCTTAAACTCTGCACTTGTTATCGACGTTACGTTCGGATGTTTTCGGATATCGCAACGCCTCTAACTCGTCTAACCGAGGAAACGTGCACCTTTCACTGGGCTCCAGGATGCCAGGCTGCCTTCGATGCTCTAAAGGAACGCTTAACCACGACACCGATTCTTGGGTATCTGCTTCCACAAGGACAATTCCTCCTTGATACAGATGCCAGCAATATTGGCGTTGGAGAAGACCGTTCGCAGTATCAAAATAAGCGAGAGTGAAACATCGGTTACTTCAGCAAGGTACTATCGAAGGCAGAACGAAACTACTGCTTTACCATGAGGAAACTATTGACCATGGTATGGTAAAATCAGTGGAGAACGTCTATGAGTACCTCTATAGACGAAAATTCCTACTCAGGACAAACCACGCTGCATTGAAATGGCTCCTGAATTCAAAGAACCTCGGAGAACTAGTAGCTCGTTGGATCGAGAGGCTCCAGGAATATGACTTCAAGATAGCACACCGGGTTGGAACAAGTCATAAAAATGCAGATGCATTGTCTAGAAGGCCATGTTTACCTGAGCTCTCACATCGTAGTCGTTTGAAGGATAAGGAAGCAGCCCTCTGCAGAACCACCGTCGTCAATTAAGATTGGTTACTTGCAGCAATCAAGCAAGAGCAAGAAAATGACCAAGAACTTCGGAAGATTCGGGAATGATAGAAAGTGAATCACCACCCTTTTTGGCAAGAAAAAGCACTATCTTCACAGATCTTGAAGGCATACTGAAGTCAGTGGGACTCCTTGATATTAGAAGCCGACCTGCTGAAGAAGAATCTCAAGAGCAATGATGGGTCGAATAATCGGTTGCAGTTAGTAATTGCTAGAAGCCATCTGGAATTTTTGTTGAAGTGAATCTGATCCATTCAATCAAGAATGTGTTTTTATTACTTTTTGATGATTCCGTTGGCAACAAGTTCTTCGAATAACGATTCTGTAGTTCTATCAGGTGTCAAATCTTTTTCTTTCTTCTTTTTACTCTTCTTTCCTCCTCTTCTCGATTTTTTACTGGATTTTCTCTTTCCTTTATGACCCTTATCCTTATCGAAGGCTTCCTGTAGAAATACAAAAAAAAACAGCTCAGTTTCATTAGAATTTATATTAGACCATGGAAGCCCACAACGTGTTTTTCCCACCACTAGCTATAGAACCTACTATTATTCATCCCACTTCAAGGCGTAAAAGTTTGTTTTTGCTACCAAGGTAGTTTTCGTGATTCCAAGAAGTACTAGTTCATAAAGGCATCGCCACCTCAGTTTAATTAGGATTTATATTAGACCATGGAAGCCCACAACGTGTTTTTTTCCACCACTAGCTATAGAACCTACTATTATTTATCCCACTCCAAGGCGTAAAAGTTTGTTTTTGCTACCAAGGTAGTTTTCGTGATTCCAAGAAGTACTAGTTCATAAAGGCATCGCCACCTCTGTTATAATTTGTTGAATATAAAGAAAAATCACCTTGTAGTTCAGTCGAAAATGAAAAATGTCAGAGTGACTGTTTTTATAATTCATGTAAACGTCTTTACTTTGTGCTTGTGAATCTTTATATAATAAAGGTACGATACATCTTTACGAAGTCCACGGTAGTAGTTTGTACTGTATACAAGGAGTAGCTTTATCAGGTTATGGGCCCAGATCGCCAATAACTGAAAATTGTGAATCAGTACGTAACCGATTGTCAGTAAGGAATGGATTTCAAAACCCAAATCGAAAAATTGGAGGGTGCTTCCAATTGGACGAAGTGGAGACGACAAGTTGAATTGCTGTTGTTGCACCATGATGTACATGATTTGATAACCGAAGTTTTCACTCATAATGTTTTGGGAGAAGAAGTAAGTGCTGAAACCCGCAAAGAGCATGAAGCAAGAATCAAAACTTTTAAGAAAGCTGATGCCTTAGCTCAACTCATTCTAGTTAGTTGTATGAACAATGCGAATATTGAACTTACTGCTACAGCAAGTACTTCCAAGGAAATATGGGATAAACTGTTATCAGTGTACGAACAAAGTTCTGGTCAGCGAGTAGACAGGCTGATGGAGCAGTTTTTCAGCAGCGAGAAAATACAGTCTGAAGATATTGCCACGCATATAGGGCGATATCAAAGAAATTTTCACGAACTCAACGATGAATTGAAGAGATTGGCAAAGACCGAGTTGCCTGATTTATTGCTAATGAGCAGAATAATGTCGACATTACCTACCGAGTATTTTGAGTTCAAGAGCGTTTGGGAATCAGTACCAGTTAATGACCGCACTGTTAACCTATTGATAGAACGGCTCCGACTCATTGAAATGCGACTACCGTCAAAATGCAATGAATCATCTGCACTTTTTGCAAACTCCGGTAAGAAGTTCGTTGAAAAAGGGAGTGAAAAGCCTGAACGAAAGTGTTTCAAGTGTCACGAGGTTGGTCATTTTGCAAGAGACTGCCCAAAGCGAAAATCAAGTCAGCAAGTGTTAAAACCATCCAGAAATACCAAGAAACAAACTGGATCGAATGGTGAAGCTTTTATTTCTGGCATTTTCGATCAGAACAATACCGTTGTATGGCTTGCTGATTCGGGTGCCTCAGCACATATGACAAAACATAAAAAATATTTCGTTACCTATGAATCATTTACTATGCCAAAGGAAATTCAAGTTGGCGACAGTAAGATAATTTATGCATACGGAAAAGGTATCATAAATGTAGAAATGGAAGTCAATGGAATATGGTATCATAACCACTTAGATAGTGTGTGGTATGTTCCAGAGATTAGCAGGAATTTATTCTCTATCGGCCAATCCATGGATAGAGGTTTCAATTTCGAAGCTAGTCGTTATGGTTGCACGATTTCAAGAGGAGGTACTATCAAATTGACTGGAAGAAGAAATTCAAAAGGGCTCTATGAATTGAATATGCGAGTTTGTATACCTGAAACCATTGCCGAGGTATTTGTTGCGTCAAAGGAGGAAACTTTACAACTTTGGCATGAGCGATTGTGTCACCAAAACAAACGTCATGTCATGGAAATCCTGAAGCAATATAATATTCAAGTAGAAGCTCATGAGGAATTTTGTGAAGGTTGTATATTCGGTAAGCAGCACAGAGCTAGCTTCAGACAAAGGCCGAATAGACCTATGATAGCAGGAGAGCTGATTCATGCTGATGTCTGCGGACCTATGCAGGAAAGAAGAGGCAGAGAAATGGAAATTGGCTATGGCTGATGAAATAGCTTCATTGCATGAAAATAGTACCTGGCATCTTGTGAATTTACCGCCTGACAAGAAAGCAATCAGTAACAAGTGGGTTTTTAAAATAAAAACGAAATCTGATGGATCCATAGAGCGTTACAAGGCAAGATTAGTTGTGAAGGGCTATTCGCAAAAGTCTGGAATAGACTACGACGAGACCTTCAGTCCTGTTGTTCGTTATGAAACAGTACGAACAATTCTCAGCGTGGCAGCTACTGAAAAGCTTCAACTCCATCAATTTGATGTCAAGACTGCCTTCTTATACGGTGAACTCCAAGAGGAAGTGTACATGAAGCAGCCAGAAGGTTTTGAAGACGGCAGCGAAAGAGTATGTCGATTAAACCGAAGTTTATATGGGTTAAAGCAGGCACCGCGCTGTTGGAACAAACGGTTCATGAATTTTCTAAAATCACAAGAAATGATCAACAGTACTGCCGATTCGTGTTTATTTATCCGTCTAAGAAACGAGAAGAAACTACTGATAGCAATATATGTCGACGATGGGCTGGTCGCTGGAACTGACAATATTGAAATTTTGTCATTCATTCAAGAGATGAAGAAACAGTTTCAAATAACCACTGGACATATAGATTGCTTTCTAGGAATGAGTATAACTCATTTGGAAGATAATTCTATTTTTATCAGTCAAACTAACTATGTTTACAAACTGTTAGAAACATTTAGAATGACTGATTGTAATGCTGTAACGACCCCATGTGAAAGAGATGGATCTGATGAGAATAAAGATGATCCAGTAAGTGCACATGTCCCTTATCGTGAAGTTGTGGGAAGTCTCATGTATTTGGCAAACATTACTCGTCCCGATATTACTTATGCAGTAAATGTTCTTGCTGAAACATTGAACAGTCCCAATGTGACAAATTGGAATTCAGCCAAACGTGTTTTGAAATATCTAAAGGGAACTGCATCATATGGATTATTGTACCAAGATAACAACACTTATGTGAAAGCTTATAGTGATGCAGACTACGCTGGTGATAGGATAACACGACGGTCAAGAAGTGGAGTAGTATGCCAGAATTCAGGAGCTGCTATAACATGGATGAGCCAGAAACAGCGTAGCGTTGTACTATCGACAACGGAAGCTGAATATGTTGCTGCTAGTGAGGGTGCTAAAGAAATAATTTGGCTGAAGAGACTTTTTGAAGAAATTTCGATGGTCAAATTTACGCCCACACTATTTATGGATAATATGAGTGCTATCAAATTGGCTAAGAACCCGGAGTTCCATAAGCGCTCCAAGCACATTGCAGTGCGTTTTCACTTCGTACGTGAAAAGTATTTAGAAGGCTCAATAAAAATTGAACATGTTGATGGTTCGCATCAAGTTGCAGATATAATGACGAAACCACTAGGCCGTATTCGTTTTCAAGAACTCCGCAAGATGTTGGGTGTTGTTGAACGGAAATGATGATGTTTTATTTAGAGGAAGTGTTGAATATAAAGAAAAATCACCTTGTAGTTCAGTCGAAAATGAAAAATGTCAGAGTGACTGTTTTGATAATTAAACGTCTTTACTTTGTGCTTGTGAATCTTTATATAATAAAGGTACGATACATCTTTACGAAGTCCACGGTAGTAGTTTGTACTGTATACAAGGAGTAGCTTTATCATAATTAACCCGAATTCTTTTTTCTGATTCGAGATTCGCAGGAATGCAGCAATGGAACTCGGATCTAGTATAGGTATTTATCAATAAGGACATAATATATTGTCCATATTTCAACACTCAACATTGGTGAAATATATTCAACGAAAATAATTAGTTTAGAAGATTGAAAAAACAAGAAACTCAGTTATAGTACACATTCTGAGTGATTGGATAATTCACTCATTCCTCTTTATCAGAAGAATGATTGTAGGTTCCACACTCATCATCACTTTCTTGTGATTATGGAGCAATCAGAATCTGATCCAGTGTAGAAGGAGAGTCTACGGTCCTACAAACTATTCGATTTGAAATTTTTTCTGAGCTAAGAACCAGCCATTTTTCATAAATTGTTGGCTATGGCTTTGTGCTTTGTCCAAATTACACAAATCTGATTCCACCTATTCATTTTGTACAACAATGAAACATTGTGACAAGGAAACAATAAACTGCCATCAAATAAGTACCACAACCATAGCGCTTATTTACATTATTTTATTCAAATTGGAACTATTTCAAAGATCAACCCGAGATTCAACCATAAAATATTTCTTTAAGTTCTGGATCGCACGGGAGGGAAATCCATATTATATTCGCAGAACATCGTGTGTTCCCAGGAAGGATAGGAAGAGAAGGTAGATATTTGACTTATTTCCGAACTTTTGGAGGTTATAAGTTCTTGGGAATACTCCCCTGAGCAATGAATTCCAAAATGTCGCCGTTCCATAGACAAGCAAGTTCGGTAGAGAGCATACGTTTAACGGTTGCATGAAATTGAGAATTTATCCCAAAATTAATTTTTTTCCATCGTATCAATCGCAGAAAGAAATAAGTACAGTTTATTTTGCCGTATTCACAATTCGAAACGGAGAGTTACTGCAAACTGGTGGAAATGCCCTATATCACTGTCACTAAAAGTCAAGATTTTGATAAAAATACCTCGGAAATACAGTGTGTGCGATTTCAACCCGCAACACCTTCCTAATTTGGAACCCGTCGACCGATTTTCAAAAACAAAAATTCCATAATATAGTTCTCAACGAGCTCATCTCGAAAATGTAGACAAATCCGACATATTCAGATTTTCGAGGCCTACTTTTGATTGTTGAAAAGGTTAAAATTTCAAAAACAACTATTAGGCAACGGAATTTGAACGCACAATCTCATACAGGGTGTTAGTTATTCAATGTCAAACTTTGATGTTTTTTATTATTCGATTCACCCTGTATCAAAATCTAAGGAGTTGATATAACTGGTGAAGTTGTCATTCAATTGAGTAACACATCGAATACTTGAATACGCAGTTTCATCGTTGTATCTTCTACAGGAAGATCTCTCTAGGTCAACCAAAAACCAATAAAACCATAGTTGAGGTTCACCATTTTGAGAACTCAAGTAAACCGTTTTTCACACCTTTCACCACACACATACTTCTAAAATCGTTTCGACTGATAAAGAACTGTCGAATATAACAAAAATAGAATGACAAACAACACTCTTTAAAGAATGCAAGGAGATTACGGATACTTAATATGATCATAATAATATACTGATTCTGGCGAAATAGAAGGGAATTGGAGATGACAATGAAAATTGTTATGTATGCATGGAGAATATTTCTTCGAATTGGCTAGGTACCATTATATTTATATTTCCAGGAAAAAAGATATGGATCATAATTAAAAATTTGATTTGATGTGTTCCTCCATTGAATGAATACTTCACCGGTTATATTAAATCATGGAGAATGGCTTGAATTCAATTTTCATTTCAATACTGAACATATTGGTAAGTTATATTTTTCATATAATAATACATTATATCATTTTATCCGATTTGAGAGATAATGTAAAATGTCAATTTCAGAGGATTTTTATTTTTCATACTCTCTTCTTGGATTTTCAACAGATATAATTCAATGTTCGACGTGGCAAATAGCCAGGAAAGTAGCTGTTTTCTGTTGAATATTCAGAATGATATTATGTACATACCTTCATATGAAGGAGAATGCAAATTCTCTACTTCAGAAGATTTTGTTTTCAAATTCTTATCGTGTGTGTTCAATAGATATAATTCAATGTTCGTCGTGGCATATAGCCAGAAAAGTTGTTGTTTTCTGTTGAATAAACTGAGAAAGAATCGATATTTTCATCACATAGAGAATACGAATTCTCAATGTATTTCTATATATATACAGGGTGTTTCATGAGAAGACTCACATAGCCAAATGATTAATTGGGGAAATAATGAAGATACAGGGTATTATGTGAAATTGCTATATGAATTTGATGGTCGATATTACAGAAATTATTCGTTGTAATCTGCTAAAATTTGGCAGCGACGTATGTCTGCTGAAACTATTCAAGATAACATATTATGAAGAACAATATCCAGGTCCGTACAAGTTCACTTTGTGACCACTTTTCTCGAAGAATTCCATCATATTCAGAAATATCTGCTCTTCAATTCACACGGCACACTTTGACCGGTTCAATAAAAAGATATGGAACAAAATCGTTCGAATGAATTTTAAATTTCGACCTGGCTGATAACTGCCAACTTTTAAGTGGTATCATGTGAATTAATTTTTTGACATTTTTGTTGAATAGTAATTGACAGAAAGATGGACGAGAAGAAAAAATACGATATTTTTTATCGAAATTCCAGATAGATATTATTATTCCTGACTTTGTTTTATGGATGTCGCTTGAAGTGAGATATCTAGTAGGTCCTGTTTTTCATTTGTGTAGGTAGGTAGGTACTAGGCTAGTACTAGGTGGGTACCAACTGATGAAGTTACGACATGAGGATTCATGTGCCCATATTATAGTGATTCATCAAATTAGTTATGCCATCACGCATAAACTCAGCTCCATTTTTTGTCATTGATACACTTCCGCAAGTGATATAAGGATGCATTTGCTATTTATTCAAAATTCCTAATGTTCATCCTCGTGAAGGTTTTACTGCAACGTATTCATGGATCTGGAAATATTCTATGGTATTAAACATAGCATAGTATTTGGATTTTCGTCTTGTTCAGCATTTGGAATATCAACCTAGAGTGTGAGAATATTTCGATTACCAGTGTTAACCTATCAACAAACGCCACGTTACATAAAATAAAAACAAGGCCACTTTATAACAAATTCATGAAATAGAACCACGAGTAATCATATCTATCTAGAAGTTCGGTCAAAAACTAACATATCAAATCTTAAAAAAATCAGAACTAATCTCTTCTGTCAATTCCTATCCAATGAAAATGTACAAAAAAATCAATTTACACGAATCCAGTTAAAAGTTGAGAGTTATCAGCCAGGTCGAAATTGAAAATTCATTCGAACGTTTTTGTTCCATATTTTTTTATTGAACCGGTCAAAGTGTGCCGTGTAAATTGAAGAGCAGTTCTTCTAGTGTTTTTTCTGATCTTTCTGAATCTGATGAAATTGTTCGAGAAAAGTGGTCACAAAGTGAACTTTTTTGACATAACAATGAAACATAACATTTTCCCAAGTACGGACTGGATATTTTTTTCATAATATGTTATCTTGAATAATTTCAGTAGAGATACGTCGCTGCCAAATTTCAGCAGATGACGACGAATAATTTCTGTAATATCGACCATCAAAGTGATATAGCAATTTCACATAATACCCTGTATCTTCGTTATGGAGGGTCAAAAAATGTTTTCATATATATACATCAACTCGTCTTGATTTCCCCTATCAACCATTTGGCTATGTGAGTCTTCTCATGAACTCCCTGTATATATCCATTTTTATGTTCATAATCATATCTGAGAATATTCCTTTTCAATGGTATAGTTTATGCAAAGTCAGTTGAACAGATCATCAAACGAATGTCGGGCCGCACTCTTTCAAAGGGACCGACGGCTTGCGGTGATGTGTTTTTCCAACTGACTTTGCATTAACTATACCTATTTATACTGCTGAGTGTGAACTTATGAGACACAGAAACAAGTTGTCGGCTCCCGGTCTATATCATTTGACTACCTGTAATAGTTCTAGCTCTGCTCTCATCATGTCATCTACAACTTCTCGTAAATCATTTTCCATGGCTGTCATCTGTTCATTCTCAATTATATCTATATAATGATATTGTCGAAAATTGGAAGTTTCATCTTTATCCTTCCACATTTCTTCATATTCTTCCTTCCGAAAATTCAATTCAGGTACGAAAGTTGAAACCATCGCTTTCGTGGTCATTTCTTCATCTTCATCTACACCTGATTTGCTATCTTTAGATTTACTCTTGTCTTTTTTCGTTTTTGATTCCTTTGACGACGGTTGCGTAGATTTGCTCATGTCGCTATCTGTTCCTGAAACAATTTGGATACTTCATTTGATATAAAGTGCGTTTAGTTCATGGAGCATATCGAATCTCATATCGTTTGAATCGTAACTTGTAACTATACAGCGAAGTATGTGAAGAGACAATATCAAATTCATTTATGAAAATTGAAGGAAGAAGAATCAATCTCAAAGTCATTTCTACCCCATTGAATAACATGGTAGGTATGGTTTATACAGGGTGTCCCAAAACTCAACGTCATCCTTTGCAGGGCTGATGATAGTCCAGCTCATGACTCACCAGAATATCACAATATGACCTCAGTGAAATATTGATAGTTCTGCAGTTATTAGCACTTTTATAAATTCGTGAAAATCGAAACCTCTGATCGGTATTTCGAGTGCCAAATATTGTTTGGAGAACATTTGAAGAGTCTAAGTGAGCTTATTAAAATGAAATAACTCCTAAAACATGTTTTCGAAGACAAAAATATTGTTTACAGTATGAAGAGTCCTATAAGTCAGCTGATTAATTGCTATTTATATATCAAGGGAGGAAAGATATCCATTTCCTCCCGCGAGTGTAGTTATTTGATGCACGACGCGTAGCGGAGGGCATAGATCTAAATACACGCATTAAACACGGCATTCAAGCGGTCTTTCCCTCGAGTCTCGATCCAAATCAATGTGTTACATGATCTAAAGTTAGTAAGATATAAGCGAAAATCTATTTGACACTCCTATCACATTGAATTTGTTCATTTTTGATCTCAGTGGTCGCAGTATCACTAAATCATCCGATAGGACTAACTCCATGTGGACAATGAAACTAATCTTTCTCCTGAAGAAACTAGACAAATAAGAGTACAACTAAACTCAGTTCTACCTACCTATAAGAGTTTAATCAAGATGATTTTGAATGATGGCAATAATTGTGATTAATATTCTGTCAATTAGAATGTGATGTTTTCGTGTCACTGTTCTTCGTATCATTCCATTCATTTTATATTCATTCAGATGCAGTTGCCTACAGCAAAGAGAATACCATTCTTCAGATGATTTACCAATTTTTCTGTTTTTCTCTATTCGTCAGCGTATCTGAATTTAAACGGCCCCTCCTTTATATCTGATATATCTCTCTACGATTATAGTCGTGCGATTCTCACCATTCTTATGGACTATTGTGAATAACTATCAGTTTTTCAGAAACAAACAAAATTTTACACATCGCCGTGCTTTTTTAATGAAATAAAAAGTGGTCGATTCTTTATGAATTCATATAGGGATTTTTTTACAGGAAAACTAACCTCATAATATTGTTCTACATGGTCTTAAACCTCCAAATGTGAATGTTCGTGTAACTCCTAATGAGGATATCAAACTAACAGGCATGCATCTAAACAGCATTTTCGCGAACGTAAATAATTATCGACTCGAAAACAGTACGTTCAACAAAAAATAATATTTCCTCTTTTTATTTCAAACTAGGATTATCTACCTTGATGAAGATATTGGACGTTCGGGAGCTGATTCTACTAATTCGAAATGAGTGATTTTTTGCATACCTATTGAGGTTCGAAACCATGCGATACAATATACTACGGTTGGTTTTTCTGACCAAGAATTCCTGAAAGGAATTCATAAAAGATCAAGTCATTTCATTTCGATATAAAGGCACGGTAGGTACTGCCCATAATGATGTTTTTATCTGAGTGAATGATCATATTAATGGTTATTCATACCAGTCTAAGCAACAGTAAGAATTGCACGACTATAATATAGTAGAGATATATCAGATATAGAGGTCGTAAAAGGCGACTAAGAGGATAACTTTAGGTGGTAGATGGTTTCATCGCCCAGTGAAATACCACCTTATCGACTTTGTGTGCTGTGAAATGGATCACTCCATGTTTCAGTGTTCGGTCGATACTTTCCGGTCTCCCTCACCCTATTTCCCAATTTCTCCTCTCTATGAATAAAGATGATGAAGTCTCCTAGAGTAAAACACTTTGCAACATCCGCGGACTCAACAAAAACATCAATGACGTCCACCATCATCTAGAAATGGAAAAACCAGATATTCTGGCACTAACAGAAACCCAAGTGAGCTTGTCCACCAACAAGGTCCACAATCCACATGCTCTGTCCTGGTTACGAACTCCATTCTCGATGCAGGTTCAAAGGTGGAGTCTGCCTCTACGCTAAGGCTAACCTTTCATGCCAGCGTGTAGAGAGTTTGGAACCGAAAGACTTTGATGTGATGTGGTTCAAGCTAGTCGATACCAAACTGACCAAATTCATCTGCTGCCTTCACCTATCGCCTAATGATAATGAATATAACAACCTCTTTGAGTTTTTATCACTCAAACTGGACTTCATTCAGGAGAACCATCCAACAGCTGAGAACATAATCTTGAGAGAATTCAATGTACACAACGCAGCCTGGCTCAAATTCTCTTACAAAACAGATGGTCGTCAAACTGAGGCCTTCGCCATCACTCATAGTCTAGAACAACTAGTCGAACTACCAACCCGCATTCCAGATGTCAACGACCAGTCTACCAATACACTAGATCTATTTCTCACCAGCAATCCTGATCCATATAGAATAGAAGTTTGTGCACCACTTGGAAACTCTGACCACACCCTCATCTCCATAACCTCTGCTCTTTCCATGTACCATCCAGCACCACAATTCCTACCGGTCTCATGTGGCATTACAATTTGGCCGACTGGGAAGGTGTTCGTATGTTTTTTCAAGGTTTCCATGAAAGAGAGTTTGTTTCTCCTCAACAGATCCAACACGATGTGCTGAGACAATTTCTGAAATCATCATGTTGTGGATGCAAACCTACATACCGAACACTGCAAGGAGAACATCTTCCGATAAGGCTTGGTTCAGTAGAAACTGCCCTAGAGCTGTCACTTCCAAACAGGCAGCATCCAATCGATAGCAGAAAAATCCGGGCCCTGAGGTTAGAGCAGAATATGTCGAGGCTAGAGGCATATGCAATGAGACAATTCGATCATCGAAGGATGCTCATAATGCCAAAATGAGATCAAAACTTGTTGAATGTATCATCGGATCCCGTTCATTTTGGTCCTTCGCCAAATCTGTAGGAAGAAACTTAACTTCCAGCTCGTTTTATCCTCTAACCAGGGAAGATGGAACACTAGTCACAACTGCCCAGGAGGAAGCCAACATTTTTGCGCATTCATTTGCTGGAAATCTCACTCTGGATTCATCGGAAAAACAACCTCCATACATAACACCAATTGACAGTCATATGCCCGAGATGACCTTTCGCCAACGTACTATGAGGAAGATTTTATTGGGTCTCAACACCAACAAAGCTTGTGGCTCCGACGGAATCCCACCGATTGTTCTCAAGGAATGTGCTCTCGAACTAACACCTGTTCTCTGCAAGTTGTTCAACTACTCTCACAAATTGGGGATATTCCCGTCCAACTGGAAAATTTCGAATTATCACGGAGAAATCTATCAACATCGGGCTCATGAAATCCCTGAAACATCAAGGTATTATCAACAATAGGAAATATGGCTTTCATCATCGGAGATCAACTGGTGACCTGCTCGCTTACGTCTCACATATATGCAGCAATCTTTTGAAAAATGGGGTGAAACCTTAGCCGTAGTACTCGATATCTCCAAGGCATTCGATCGAGTCTGGCACCACGGACTCCTCGCCAAGCTTCCATCTTATGGCTTGCCTCCCCAGCTATGTTCTCTGCTAGCAAGTTTTCTCTAAAACAGGTATCTCCATTTGGTGGTCGACGAAGTTTCTCTCAAAAATGCTGTGGTTCTGCAAGGATCGATTCTAGCACCGACACTATTTCTACTCCATATCAACGATTTGTTGGAAGCAACTTCATGTCCAGTAAACAGCTTCGCGGATGATAGTACCCTTCATATTGCCTTCTCTTCCAGGGCTCCAGTACCAGCCAGGCGAATCAGAAACGAACGAAGGAGAAATGTTGCCTTTTCTCTAGAAAAGCCGATCTCACTGTGCCCAACATAAGCTTGTCAGGAGTAACCATATCTTTGAAGACATCCATTTCGATGCTTGGTATTATTATCAGCAATTACCTTTCTTGGGAAAATCACGTGAGATCAATTGCTAAAAGTGCATTCCAAGAACTTGGTTTTCTGTTTCGAGCCAAGAGCTATTTTACTTCGAGTCAGCTGCTTATGATCTATAAGGCACAGATCCGACCTGTCCTGGAATACTGTTTCCATATTTGGAGTGCAGAACCCAAACATACCCTGAAACTGTTGGATTCTGACCAAAAAAGGGCTATTCGTCTCGTGGGTGATGCCTCGCTCACAAACTCACTCACTTCTCTGGAACACAGTAGTGTGTAGGAACAAGTTGGCGATCTGGCTCTATTTCATAGATATTTTCATGGACGATGCTCTTCTGAAATATCAATAGGTGTTCCTTCCTTGACAGTCCCCGCGAGACTAACCCGTCGAGTTGAGGCTTCGCACTCCTTCGTGGTCACTTTGGACACTTGCAGAACATCTCTTCCCAAAGACCCGCTCATCCAACGAACAGCGAGGATCTGGAACACATCGCCCAGAGAGGTATTTCCCGAGGCATATAACCTTCAGAAATTCAACCTACCTTATTTCCCCTATTGTTTCTCACGATGTCATCTGAACATAGGATTTCCCTTTTTGTGGGAACCAGAACATAAGAAAACGAGCGGTTTGAACTGAGGAACGCTGTAGAATAGAGAAAAAAAGGAAATAAGATTCATCATCCAAAGAATGGAATTTTTGTTGCTGTAGGCAACTGGATCTTAATGAATATAAAATGAATAAAATGATACAAAAAACCGTTGGAAGTGAAACACGCTTGGTCCTGAAGCCAAACGTTATCGAGTAGATAGTAATGTTTATCTCCAGCTCAAGAATATTCATAAGAAACAGCAAGTCTCAAAAAATATTCATTGGGTATGGAGCGTACAAACCTTGTCTACTGAGCATTAGTCTGGATGAACTTCGATCTTCTCCAGTGAACTCTGGAATTTTTCCTGTTTGTGTTTTGTATTCATGTAACCAACTTCTTACTTGATCACTAAGTTGTTCAAGAACGGGCCCTCTTTGATTTTTCTCTAAATTAGATCTGAGAAAATGAGTAAGGTATCACACACTTGCATTGACTCCTCGAGAGTTATACAGGGTGTTCCGTGACTCGATGGCCATAGCTTAAGGGCATATTCCATGAACAATTTCGAGTCGAAAATGCCATAAACAATTTTGTCTTGAAGTCAAGAGTCAAGGAGTTATAAGCAATCAACAACTTTGCTCACAAGTAGATTGCAAGAGGTGGTCCAGTTCTTTGGCCACCGGGGTCACCTGGCCACTACCCAGGCAACCAGAGGATGTTTTAGTAACTTCTTTTTAGGTCAGTTGAATGACCCAGGTGACGTCAGGAGTTGACGTCGTATGACGTGATAAGTGACGTGAATGAGTCACAGCCCAATGACGTCATATTACTCACGTTTATTGAACTAAATTCACTCACCAAATTTTGACACTTAAAAAAGTTTTCTCGAACATGATGTGATGATCACCACTGACCTCTGATGACATATAATATTGAATATTATGCATTGTTGAGTCTGCTTGGTGGTCCCTCCGGTATCATGTCCATTCAATCGTCTATTCAGCAGCGCTATCCCTCAGTACGCATCTCCATGAGGATGGAATCAATTACTCGTATCTGTATCAGAAAGCATGTAGTTTGTGTCGGCGAGATGCAAGCAAACCAAAAATAGTTTGATAGCAATGAAAAGGATGTTGGCGAATTTAGCTACACTTTGTTGAGTAACGTATATTCATTCATTATTTGTCACCCAAAAAAAATCTGAATAGCAAATTATTGAACGATTTTCTGAATGACAAAGCTCATCAAATTGGTACGTCACACCGATATGATTTTTAGACGTCAATATAGGTACACCTATATCATCATTTGTATATATACATATATAGCTTGATTGGTTTCCGAGATATGCAGGGTATCAAAGTTTGATAAATGTTTTCCTCCAATTTTTGAGTATAAATAATTCCAATGAAACTTGCATGTTGCTTCTTTTCAATGAGTTATACTCCTATCGACGTTAGAAGCATATATAAAATTACCAAGACGTACAACTTCTTATATATGTGTGTAGAATTGATGAAAATGCCCCCCATCCTGTATATATACGTCACAAAACTAAAGGTTGCACAATGTAAGTATACATGGTTTAGATATGGTCTGGGAAACATGGACGTTGACAGGACGACCCTGCAACGTCATGAAACTGACATCTTATTTTACCCTTCTAAGTGACGTTCACTCGACGTGGAGATGATGACGTCATAGAAAGTACGTCATAGTGACGTCATAAATTTGTGTGTGACGTCTCTGACGAAAAATCACCAATTAGGGACGTCACAGTGACGTGATCATTCGTCATATGGTTGCCTTTGGGCACCCATAGAAATTTCAAAGTATTCAAATGAACTACGAACCAGAGATGAGCTAATTTTAAATATCTATAGCTGCATCGATAAGTGCAGACCAAGACACTCTTCCGAGAGCACCAACGTTTTCAATAATGGGCGAGTTGACTGATAATGCATTATTGGCATTCAATCACTCCACTGTGTCTTGGAACCCAAAATAATTTTTGCAATACTTCTCACGCTCTTTTTATACTTGGTATTGTATATAAAAGACAACATTTTGAAGAAATTATTGAAAAGAAAATTGTATCGAGTATTGTACTGTGGGGTATGAAAAAAATGTCTTATAATCTCCTAAAAGACGAATTTTGACGTTACTTGGAGGAAAAACCACGCAACAACACGAACAACAACTGTTTCACTTGTCCATTACTGCTTTATAATACCTTGGCAACGGTTCCTATTGACCCAGAACGTCCGGGGCGTTCGCGGGCATTAGGAATCATAACGTCCACTAACTGTTTTTCTGTAGTTTATTAAATAACATACCAATTCTTCAGAGTACAATAATCCTCATGGTATATTCAAGAGTCTGGATTTTTCCGACAATTAATTAATCGCATTCTTGGGTACACGAAAAAAAAAAGTTTGGTTGCACCAAGATAATACTTTTGGTCATTTTTTTTTGTTAAATTAATCACAATTATTCGAAGTCAACCAAATATATGTTCATTCCAAATATGCGATCCAAATATGCGACTTATTCAAAAAGATAAAATAATTTGATTGAAATATCTGCTTACTTGAACAGAAGTTTCATTCCATTCAACAACATTTATAGTTGACATAAAACAAATTTTGTTGATCCAACTATCATCTCATTGTTCAATCAATCATATGCATCTTGTCTATTTGACAAAATTGAATTAATTTTGACAAAGATTCAACTAAGTACATTATTCTGTTGATTCAACAATCTTTTCATTGTGCAACCAATCAAAAGTTTTTGTCTATTCGACAAAATTGAAGTGATTATGACAACATTATATTTTATTCATTCAACACATCATTATCAAGAAATATGTTGTTATTTCAAACAGATTATTTTGTTGAACAGAACCCGCAGATACATTATATCGAAGAAATATTTTGTTGAATGGTTATCTAATTGCATTTTCGCCACCAGGTGGCGTTTCTTCCCACCTTCCTACGCTCGTCTCGATTGGGGTGTATATATACCTGCCTAGAACATCGCTGTCCTAGAATTTTTAATGACGCTTATTCAAGCTTCTTGAATCAACTGAGGAAATTAATGTCTATTTCCACTTAGTTCTGAAATTCAGTCATTGAATTTCTGCCTTGATACAATTTTGTTGATCGAATAAATTGATTCATTGAATAAAAACACAATTATGTTATATTCAGAATATATATTGTTATTTTAACATATTCACTCTCTGAGAAACTGAAAATTTTGTCACTCGAATGAATCATCGAATCTGTTCATTAGAGCAGATTTTGTATTATCTCCTGCTGTCAATTTGAATCATTAATGAGTTAAATGAAATGAATTCCAAGTTGAAAACTGACAAAAAAATTTTTTGCGGTGACAAAATATTTGGTCGTGGATATATCTGACACTCAGATTTTGTTTAATTTACAAAAATTTTGTAGTTTCAAACAATTATTTTTTTTGTGTTTGGTATTAAATAATTATTTTTATAGGACTACACGAATAAATCAGCAAAGACATTCACTTAATTAAATGATGACAGCAATATTCAACAAACGTCAAAATGTCAACAAATGCGATGCCTACCATGAGAAGATAAATAGAAAGGGCATGCTTTTCAATTTATTTACAATGAGATAATGTTTTCGTGCAAAATACTAGATCCTGACGCCCATCGGGCAGTATTCATCCCTCGGGCCAAAGGCTATTATGTACCAAGTGCGTTATATAGATCCTAACGCCCGGATGGTAACATACACCCGAATACCCTTGACCCGAGGGATGAATGCTGCCCGATGGGCGTTGGTTAGGGGTTAGTAACGCTGGTGGTGCATATAAAATTTCATTTTTCACGAAAGAATTACTCAGAAAATTATCTTATCATAATGAAAAGTCGACTTTGAGAAGCGGTTAATTGCTCCTAGCATTTTTTCCCATTTTTCTTATCATGAGAGGCATGGCATTTGTTGATATTTTGACGTTTGTTGAATATTGTCCCCATCATAATTAATCAAAATGATGCTTATTATAGGTATCAGGATGTAGAGCTCTCGGAGTACTATAATAAAAAAATTTGCAGACCTGTTATATAAAATAATGAGCTATCGCCAATTCAAGAGAAACACCCTATATAAGTCACATATGGAAAAATCACGGAAATTACTGATCGACTATTTTGACAGCTCACCTGCAACTTTCGACAGCCTCTTTATATTCCTTCTGCCTCTTCTCTTGCAACTCCCATCTCCTCCTCCTATTTTGTAAATCTATCTCGATATCAGCACTCTTCGTTTTAGGCGGAGGAATCATTCCAATGAGAATCATTTCTTCTAGTTTCCGTCTACGCGTTGTTCGTCGTGCAACATATCCTCTCCAGATTTTCTGGATCCTCAATGCAGCTGCTAAACTTATCCCACCTGATTTATCATCTTCTCCCTCCCCCGCATCTTCCCCTTGCAATGGTTTGCTTTTTTCTTTCATGCTCTTTATCTCCCTCATGAATTGAGCTCTCACTCTGCCTTGCCGTGCTCTTTCATGTCTTTGAATTATTAGTATCGCTTCATTCGTAGTCATAGGGATTTCTTCTTCTATTTTGTCGACGAATCCTAGTTTGGATAAGACGCTATCTATGATTTTTGTGCGATATTCCAGGTCATGTTTCCTTTCTTTTCTATAGCAAGTAGGGATACACATTTCTGTGTCTATAGGTGTCAAGTTCAGCTCTTCGATAATATCGCCACAGTGAGTATATTCATTGATGTCCGCTTCTACTAAGTCGTTTTTCAGTTCCAATAACCTAAGATTTTTCTGTATTTTCATATACTTACCAGAGAAGTGCATGAAAAACGGCCAGCAGTGCTGTAACTTTTGGGTCATTCGAAGTCAGATGGTGAATAGCAAGTAGGTATACGAAATTGCCTTTTATTGACAAAAAAACATTTATTTTATTTTATTTGGCTCAACCGGAAGGAACCTCACTTTCGACTTTTTTAATAGGACACCCTATATTTTTCGAAATTTTGCCTAGTGTAGAACGATCCTGTGGATCCGAATATGACAAAATATTCAGGCTGTCATATTCGAAAATGAAAAGTTTGGGTTGCTTCCGATTGAACCGAAAGTGATAGAATATAAATTTTTTTGTCAATCAATGAGCGATTTGGTAAACTTCATACCCACCAAATTTCAGAATCTGATCTCGAATGATTCAGAAGTCACAGCGCTGGCCATTCCTTGTGCACTTTTCTGTACATACAGGGTGATTCACCTAGGGAGACTTTCAGCAGTTGGGCTCAGTCTCGTTGATGTTCATCCACGAATTAACAGAAACAACTTCACATGGTTGTCCTAGTTTTCCTGATTCATAGCTCCGCGATCCTGTTCCAGAACACATCACTCTTGAAGTTTCGGCCTGATCAGAATGAAATTTCAATGACACCCCGGAACGACTGACATTTTTTTCAGTAGGACATCGGTAACAGTTACGGCCTCGCGAATAAGAATCTGATACGCTCCCACCCACTTGGTGAAGTAGTCCATGCCGACAATAATGTGATTATTTCCATTATTAGTCACTAGAAATTGCCAGCAATATACAGGGTGAGTCATGACTAACCAGCCATAGCCTAATGGCAGATAGAGGAAGTCAAGGTGAGTTGATATATATATTGGGAAGAAAATATTCTGCCTATTCCTAACAGGAATACAGAAAATTTTTTGAATTCGGGGCCAAACTTTGATGATCGATATTTCCGGAACGTCTCGATGTTATGGCCTGAAATTCACCAGCAACTCACTTTTACTGACACACCACAGGATGGACTAATATGAAAAAAAGTTCCAGAGCCGGACCTAAAAAACTTTTCTTTTTAAATGTCAATATTTCGACTCTCTGAATCGTATTTCTCAAAAACTTTCATCAGAATCAGAAAGATCAAGAAAAACACTACAAGTGTACCTTTTCAATTTGTACAACACTCCGATCAGATTGGAATGAAAGTATCAAACAAGATACTGATGAACGATTTTATGATTTCTTACTGGTTATTGTAGTCCACCGTTCAACAGATTCATTTAAATCCATTTCTTGCATATCGGTGTATTATAATGACTTTAGAGAGGCTCTATTCGATGAAAATTCGAGGACTCGACTTACTTTTTTCCAGAGACCTTTCAAAACATGGCGCAATGAGTATCTGATTTGAAAAAATTTCGATACCTACCTCCCCTCCCTATATCCTTCCTATAGGTACGCACGATGTCGTTCTTCGAACATTATAGGAATTTCCTTTCGTGCGCTCCAAGAGATGAAATATATGAAAAATTATTGCTTAGGTAGGCATTTTTTTTTCGAATCAGATATCTGTACCAACTTATACAAATAAAAAATTTTGAGGTAGTATTGAATATGATCTCATTGCATGTGAACTCTCTCAATCAGCGAATTGAATTGTGAGTTTGGTATGTTTTCCTTATTCAGAAATTACTACAAAAGGAGGCTGTAATGCAAGGATGTATAAAAATGAATTGAAATAGGTATTATCTCTTAACAGGATGGGGCACCTCCAGATTACTCAAAACAAGTTAGAGAATACCTAGACAAACAATTCTCTAATCGCTAGATAGGTCGTGGCGGCCCTCATTCTTGGCCCCCTAGGTCCCCTCTAATCTCATAGTATTAGACAATTATCTGTCGAGACATATGCAACGATTGGTCTATCAGACTGAAGTCATCACCAGAGAGGAAATGAGATAGAGGATTGTTCAGATATGATCAGAAATAATGGGCAAATTATTCGAAAAGTCATAAGAAATCTTCCGAAGATATACAGAAAATGTATATTAATTGGAGGAGGACATTTTGAGAATCTTCGTTGAAAATATTTGGATACAGACAAATCTTTTTCGAAAATTATGTTTTGTAATTCTTTCTAAAAACCAAGTACAGTCCTGAATTTTTTTTATTGATACGTTTTCTCTACTCTGCTGCTATATCATATGCAAAAAAACTGATTCAGATACTTTTAGTCGAATGTAGTGAGTAATGTCCTGGACGAAATCGAAGAAATATTCATCTGAATTTTGTTTGATATTTTTTCACCAATCCGGTCGAAGAGTGCCGTACGAATTGAAAAGCTAAACTTGTAGTGTTCTTCCTGGTCTTTCTGATTCTGATGTCTCCCATAGTAGATCATCGTGAGAGGTGTCAGTAGAGGTAAACTGCTGGTGAATATCAAGCGAAAACATCGAGACGTTCCTGAAATATCGTTCATCAAAGTTTCGCCCTGAATTCAACAAATGCCCTGTATTCCTGTCATGAATGAACATAATATATTTTTTCACATATATATCAATTCACCTTGACTACCTCTATCTGCAATTGGGCTATGGCTGGTAAGTCAGCCTGTAAATGGCGACCCTTTCGGAAAGGTGTCCGACATTGTACCTACTGTCTCATGGAAGCCCTTGGATAACGATTGAGATCAATGCTGACTAAGCATACGGTGCATTCATGACACCTTTTTATGATGTCATCAATGTAGCTCATGTAGTTTTACCACACTCGAATCCGCTGCTGTGTATTCTTCACTCTTAGTCCTTCAGAAGATTCAACGTGTACAACTTAGGTCGTAGGAGTTACTAGCTGCATCCGATTATTTGACTCGTCATCGCTTACGGAAGTCATCTCCAGCTGGTTGTTTTCTAATATCGAGGAGTCCTACTGACTCCAGTATGCTATCACGGTCACGGATGGCACTACTTCTTGCCAATTAGGTCGACAATTCGCCATCTTTCATTTTCGAAGTTCTCCAAGTTCTAGGTTCCTTTCTGTGTCTTGCTTGACAACAGTAAGTGACTAATATTCGCTGGCAAAATAAGTTCTACAAAGGGGTGCTTCCTCATTGTTCAGGCGACTACTTGGGCACCCAGGGGACAGTGCCTTCTGAGCAATGTTTTATTTGCTTTCTTATGTCTTGTCCCATTCGAATTGCTATTTCGAATTTATATTCTTGAAGCCTCTCGATTCAACGAACAATGGGTTTTCATATTTCTATTCGACAAAGACTACCGCTATTCCATGTCTTAAATGATCTTGTCTGCACTTTCCTTCTTCGCCTGTTGCAATATATGCTGACTAAGGAATTGGTCTGTCATCTCCTGCATCGATTGTTATTGGTCTCAAATTGTAGGATATGTTCACGACTTCAATAAAAGATGGAGTGACTTCATCCGTAGGAAGTATAACTTTCAAAAGTTTTGGTCAAAAAACGAATCAGTGGAAAAATCCAAGGTGTTTCGAGCACCACACAACTCAGTTTCACACTGATGGTAGGTACCTAACAATATACCATCAGATGTGGGCCGTTACCATCGAGACAATAAAAGGCCAGAGCTCTGTGATGTAAACAGCCCGTGACGTCAACTAAGAGAGGCCACACACCTATTCTATGGCGAGTTGATTCGCACGTACCCACCATTGCCAGACCTACTACTTTAACAGTAGATCTACTGTTTTCGTCTCCGTTCTACTATTCAAGGCAATAGTCTGAATGGTCATGTTTTGATAGGACACATTTACCTAATATGTAACAATGAATAATTAATGAGGCATCACAGTAAGAAGATGTATGATTAAAATATACTGGAATTATATTCAGTCTGATAAGTAAAAATCAGCTTTCATTTTCAATTTGGTTGTGGTTTTTACAAATTTCTTGTTCAGATCTCATTATTATTATTTTTGTTCGATTTTAATAGGTTAAGGAAACAAACATAATTTTTTTTTCGTTTATTATAAAGGTTTCTATGTTCTTTCATTCATAATAGCAAATTGTGATGATTATTGGAATCTACTGTTCAGTTTTGATGATCTACTGTTTTTTCCTCACCCATCTACTGCTCTGGCAAATTTTCATCTGGTAGCACATACTGCTCGTAGTCAGTTCGATCAGGTATTCTTGGAAAATGGTCGCGTCCCGAATTCTTTTGTTGTTTATTTATCAGAATAATTGGCGGAAATATTCCTTTTTTGTGAAATATTTTGTGTTATGATAGGCGGAATAACAATGCCTTTGAAGTGTTGTATTCCCTTTTGTCGGGGGAATTAGGCATGGGTATTTCAAAAGTTTATGCTTTTAGTTTCCCGTTGGACAAGGAACTATCGAAAAAGTGGGTAAATGCAATTCACCGCAAGGATTTTACTCCATCTAAGTACAGTAGTAAACAGAGCTTAATTTATAATGATGAATTAATAATAGGAGACAAAAAGAGGAAAGCATTGATTGTGCATTTAGTTTTGTATTCGTATATTATATTCAACAAAATCTTCTCTGAATTCGAGGAAGTTTTTCTCGAATGTTCATAATAAACGGGCATTTCTAACTCAATTTTCAAATTTCTTTCTGAAAACGGTAATTTGCCTCGTGTCCGTGAATGTAGAATTCATTCCAATGATCGAATTGCAACTATCATATTAACATGTACTACACTCTACTCAAAAAAGTAAAACTGCTTTTATCATGCGATGGATTTTTTTTATTTTGGTACCTACGTATTTTTGTCTG